TTTCTGCTGTTGTAAACTTTGAGCAGGAGAACAGTCACTGGCAGTCCCTTTATACTTGTTGGTCTTCTGTGCTCTGTTCTTGATACACTGTTCATGACCGTGGAGCACCGAACCCCTTGTTACTGCTGGAACTTAGAAAAATACAGATCATTGTTACAACCATGCTACATGCAAGAGTGTATAGTTGTCAATTATGTGCTCATATTTACAGATATTGTATTTTCAGAAGCCAATGACAAGCCTGAACACACACAAACACAAACAGTGAAGACAGAAAATATATTTAATATGATACAAGAGCAAAACTACAATGTTATAGATGAAGACATGAAACTTCTGACAGGCATAAAAAGCGAATAGAGTTTCTTCTATTTCGACTTTACACTAGGTGCGAGAAGTAGACCACAAATAAATTCACTAAGAAACACAAGTTAGACCGCATTACAACACAACAGCCAATGTTCATAATTTTAAGGCTGTCTAACATAACCAGCTCACCATACCGCATATAGGAGCAAATGGGCAGTCTAGAAGACACAAAGAACTTGTGGATTATGAGTGTGCTTGTTGCTGACATCTATTATTCTAAATGAAGAAAACCTTTCAAAATTGCACTTCATCTGGGGAAATAATCATACGCAACAAACACAACGGGCTCCTACAGGTGCCACCAACACTCACCATTATTTTTGATACCAGTGTCTTGCCGGATGGATATGCTGCGTCCTGCACAGAACACCAAAGGAGCGCTTCATGACTTGGATTGTGTGTGTGCTAGCTGAATCGCTCTGCTGCTGAAATAGGCTAGCCACAGACAAAGAAATGAGAAGCCATGGCTTTGAAACACACTGAACGTCACCTTTAGAGATCAACAATGCATACTTAGGTCAGGTACAATTTGTAGAAAAATATATATCGCTATGCAATCGTGGTGAACATGTTCGGCTGAAACACAAGCAACAGCACTGAGAGAGAAAAAGCTACATTAGGTAAAAGATGCAGTTACTGGCCCTATGTCATCTGAGGCTTCTTCAATAGGTCTTTCTACTTGCAAGTTGTGAACAGCCAGGCAATTTTCACCCACTTGCTATTTCCTTCCAGAGCACTTGATCCACAGAGGGAGTCACAAGCTCGAGAGCTCAATAAGGAATCAAAGTATTTGTGCTCATTTCAAAGCACAAGCTTTTGAGTCTCAGATTATTGGAGTTTCATTCATAAGCTGCAGGCTTTCAGCTTTCAACATTCTCAATTATCTTGCAATTTAGTTCTATAAATGATGAATAAGAATTATGTGTAGGGTATTACAGGTATCCACTGAAAGCAACCATGCTTGGGTTTTCAATTTGTGCACAGTAAGTGGTGTTCACGTAATCGTATGCATTAAAGAAAAACTAACCTTGCAGCCAGCCGTTAGGCAGTTTTGTGCCCTCGAAGCTCCCAAGCAGATTGCAGTCCTTCCAGATGAGGCTGCCATGCATGCTTCCACGCCACATCCGCTGAATGATAACAGCCCCAGCAGTGACATAGGCTTGCACAGTTAGGGAGAACGTGTCCTTCCTATTTTTGTACAGGTGCTCCAAGTAATGATGAGGATTGATGGGCTAGAATGTGCAACCGATGCATCACAGGACCTTAACAAACCAATCTCTGCGATCTGTGAAGAGCCAAAAACGAGATATTTACTTAAAAACAATCATTAAAAGCACTCACTTCTAGTACTTATTTGAGGAAGCTATCACTTCGTTAAAGTGACCAAAATCTGCTATATTCACTTTGAAATAAACTGAAGCCTCATGTAAAATTTACGTATTGCAATATATATGTCCTACTGAAGTATAGTACTACCACAGTGGTAATCGTCTATAGAACTAATTTTCCAAAATAACATAAATTTTTTAAGTGCAACCTGGCTCCTGAAAAATAAATTCACATTAACTTTCCAACTATCAAACGTGGTCAATCGACAGGCCCAGCCTCATAATCAAACAAGAGCTCACTTGTATCAAATCACAAAAAACTTTTTATGTATTTGCTCCATAATATATGTATGTAAATAACAGTAGTAGTAAATTTTTCATGCTTCAACGTACCATAGAGAAACATTACATCTGATGGGCTTAAAAACTTGCACACGTTATAGAACTGCCTGAATTATAGTACCGGTGAAATTTAGTTCTGCAAGGTGAACTCACCGATGGCAGCATTTAGTAGCCATCGGTGTCATAAGGAACCAAGTACGGCCAACAGGCAAAGGGCATCTGCAGACTGGAAGCTGCCGATGACAGCAATGAAGGGCTGGCCAGGCGTGCACGTCCATTGATAAAGTGTAAGAACTGGCCATGACCGGCTGTTGTCAAGGCTCTAGTGCCGTGCAAAACGATGGCCAGACGAACTCGGAAACCTGTAGTTAGGCGATATTGGCCTACAACTTCATCCAAAGCAAGGCACCGGTGAAATCTTTGCTTTTTGGGGGGGCTGGAGGGAAGCTTGACGTTCACGGGCTCTCGCTGCCACATAAAACTCTCAATTTGTTACCGAAGAACATTCTAGGCGCGCTTCCAAAGTAACACGATCCACAACAGAATGTAGCATCTCGCAGTTTTGGTTGATCACATCACAGCGCTAGGACTATGGTTATCACAAACAGGAGAAGTGACGACTTAACAAACAAAAGCGCCAAGCTGTCCCACCACGACTTCGCAGGGCAAAACAGTTATCAACGCTGTCTTTCAATTTTCGGTCACACGAGCACAGCTTGTTCACAAGTCTTGGAACGTCAACACAGCACCACTGTTCACAACGAACATCATTTCACTCTCGAACAGTACATTGCTCTCAAGTAAATAGAAGCGTACGGGCTAACTAGTGGCGAAGCAAGAACCGAGCGCGTAGTTCATACGTTTTCGTATGTACTTGGGGTCACTCAGGTAACGTGTCAAAACGCTGTCCATCCGAAATGTCGCACAGCACCAAACTGAGAGACTGGAAAGTCAAGCGAACGAACTGTTACCGGCACACAAACACACATTGCAGGCTTCTCGAGTGCGAGTTGCCGTCGATACATCGACGCCGATCCCCGATTTATAACCACACCGACGCACAGGCTTCGCTGCGCTTCACCGTACACCATTGCACTGCCACAGCTTTCCGCACTGCTTACACGCACCAAAAGAGCTGCTGTAATCACAACACATCCGGTCAAACGCTGAAGTAACTCGCGCGAGAAGCGTTTGCTGAAAGTCGCACCGACCGATATGCTGTTTACGACGCCATGTTGTTTTCGACAACTGCGCAGCACATAAGATGATAAGAGAGCTCTTAGAAAGTACTTGCACTATTTTCACGGCGTGACAAAATTTTTTCTTATGTGCGAGGGGGGTGATATGACGAACAGGACAGGCGTGCCAGTTGAAAGAAGTGTTTTGGCAACGTCACGGAGTGAGCTGATGTAGAGGGTATTGCTTCACAACCAATAACAAGCTGTGCCTGTCGGCCAAGCCGTCGTCTGCTCGCGTTTGTCGTCTGCTTCGATCAGAGCATGCGACAGGGGATTCGCCTTCGCAACGCTATTATTCTCAGGTCAAGTGGTCACTACGTCGCACAAAATACATGTCAGTGGCTCGCTCTACCTTTGAATGATGTTCGTGCGCCAAGTTAAATGACTGGTAATTGACGCAGGGATGAATTCAGCCAAGGTTTGCTCCAGAATCGTGAAGGTTTGCATATTTTCGGTGTCATACAAAGTTACTAAGGTCATTTCATTCCGATGGCTTGCCATAATATCACGGTCCATATCGGTGTCTGAACAGTGAAGGTGAAGATGCATGATTTGTTTGTAGTTCCATGCGTAATCATGCGCACCCCTAATACGCTTTGGTTTACAAAGTACGCTTTGTTCCACATCGTCCCAAAGTGTATCGACAGCTGTATTTCAGAGATCGCAACCATTGGACAGTTAGAGCCAATGAAAGTACACTAGAGCACAAACTTTAGGAACCACTCACTGGAAACTTTCTCTCATTTTTATTTCCAATAGCTTGCAAAGAATGTGCTCCCATTAACCTCTCTGGTGGTAATTTCCACCAATGAGGCAAGGATCTCGAGTCGCACTTTTAATTGGATGAGATGGGGCGCAACACAACAACATAACAAATAAGGTTGATCCTATGTCATGTCGCGTTCGAATGCACCGACCATTCACGTATCACATTGGTTTTCATCCAACCACAAATCTTTACATGCGTAGTTTTATGCCATTGATGCCCAATAGAATTCTTCAATTACTGCGACTTCGAACTTATTGGACGGTGGTGGTTGTCAACACCATCCACTGCGTACAAGGGAAAGAACACGCGAAGCTCAAAGTGCCGAAAGAGATAAAAGCGCACCAGCAGTCATCAGGCAGCCCTTAATGGGCGTGAATTACCTCAAAACCAGCCAGGGCACCAAAGTATACCGCTGTGGCAGCAGGTTCTAAGTAGCCACATTGTTCCTAAGAGTGGTCCGGACCACTCTTGGGATTTTCTCTCAGCCATGCTGTTTTTACGCACAATTTCGCTTCGTGAATCCACTTACGAGCACTTTTCGGCGACGTAAGCAAATATAGCAACTGCATCACCATCGCTGACAAGTTCCCGGGCAGTCACAGCGCGCTTTATTTGCAGCGGCCGATGTGACAACTAAGGCCTCTTACGACGTTTTTTCGTTTCGTGAATCGACTTACGCAACAAAATTTCTCTTGCGCAAAAATGTTTTCGTAAGTGAGCTTTGTGAATCCGGGCCCTGAATCTAAAGTCACGATAAATGAGTTTTTTGTTGTAACCTATGTTTATACCTTGAAACCTGTGAGGTGAGTGCTGAAAATAAACATAACTTCTATACCACCTTTGCACGTCATTACATCATTGTCACTTTGCAAAAGTTTTTTCTCCTTACGTGCATAGCATACTTCCTTCCCCTATCTAACCACCCCCTCTCTTCGCTCAGACGTGTGGTCCCTGCCTCACCAGCTTCATGTCATACTGCGGCCCTCCACTTGAAAAAGGTTGCGGTCTCCAGCTTTAGACTAACCCCAAGAGCGGCGCAGCTGGTGACCCTGCCTTCGGAGAGGATGACTGAGTGGGTGAGTGAGACAGTTTTTTCAGTCCCAGAGGCAATTATTTGTTGCCCTTCAGTAATCAAGATGAATCATATATGGACTGCTTAAGTATACACTCTAAAAAAGATAGAGTTATAAGGGCGTATTTTTGCCCCACAACAATATTCCTCATCTATCTTGCGTTCCTTTCCTTGCCTTATCGCCGTAAGCCTGGCACTACCCGGTCACCAATGCATACGCGCTGTCAGCGCAACATAGGATGCTTGATAGGAAAGTGACCAGCGCAGTCTTTTCAGGAAAAGAAATGGCAGCAAGCCAGATGACGATTATTGTTATGGGACAAAAAACACCTTTTTTACATGATATATTTTCAGATTGCAGTATGTGCAAGTGACATGTCGCCTTGGATGACGACAACAACAAAATGCGCGCGCAACTGCCCTACAGCTGTGGCACGTGTGCGGGCCTTGCATTGAACGCAAGCTGACAGTGACTTGAATGTCTGAGCTACGACTGTTAACTTGTTCTTTTCTGTAGTTGATTCAGTGATTTCACTGAGTCAGTGATTACGCCACGGCGCTCAAGATGCTAGCAGCAGAATGCGACATTGGGACAAGCACAGACACTACGGCTGACATTACACAACTAATGCTGCGTGATCGTTTCGTTTGCCGTCTTCAGAATGAGCAGGTCCAGCAATGGCTGTTTGCAGAAAAGTATTTAACAGTCAAGAAAGTTCTTGATTGTCAAGTTCTTACCCCCGTATTCAAGAACGTCCCTTCACTCAACGCTTCACCTTCACTTGAGAAAGCCGATGGGAGCGCCATCTCTAAGAACAGCAAGTCACCACATATCAGGGATAATCTGCGGCGATTCTTGAGCTGCGCAGCGTCATTTTCAGCCGAGCGGTGGCGCACTGCTCAACTCTCTCAAGTGAATGGTTAAAGTCGAGTCGAAGAGCGTTTGTGAATACGGGGGTTAGATTGTCTAGTTCTTGCATTTTGAAGTCGACTCGGGTGAAGCCTGCACGCACTCATCAGTCAGGCCATGTTCAACGCCACATGAACAGATGACCCAGCACAGCTTTAGACTGACAACAATCTCTTACGCATCTCGTCAGGACAGTGTCTTCAAGTTCTCGGGATGCTGGCTTTCTACGACATATTCTTGAAGAACAGGGCAACAGTTGCCAGCTGTCTCTACCAGCTCCTTCAGAAGGACGTCACGTGGAGATGGGAGCATTTAACAAGCTTAAGACAATTGCTTCTCAGTCAGACTGTACTGGGAAACCACGACGAACAGATGGCGCTTCTTGTCTCATGTGACGCTTCACCATACGGCATAGGAGCTGTTCTGTCTCAATGCGATGACCAGAATAGAGAGGCGCCAATCTCTTTTGCATCTCGGACTCTAGGGCCGGCCGAACGCAATTACGCTCAGTTGGACAGAGAAGGCCTTGCTCTGGTGTTTGTAGCCCACAAGTATATTGAGGGTAGAAAGGTGACTTCGCCACTGAGAATGAACCACTGCTCGGCATATTGGGTCTACAAAAGCCAACGACTCAAGTCTTTTCTCCACGAATGACGAGATGATGCATCAAGTTAACGGCGTATGACTGCATCATCATCTACAGGCATATGGCAAAAACCATCAGAACAGCGATGCATTCAGCCGATTGCGATTACAATCACAGGTCTTTTTAAGAAATGAAACGCAAGCAAGCCGGATGACGATTATTGTCGTGGGACAAAAAGACCCTTTTTACTCTATATTTTTTTGTATTGCAGTATGTGCAAGTATAGTTATCACCTCAACATTGTGATTTGAGAACTAAACAGTACATGTTCTTACTCTTACACAAGTTCATCTATTTAGCGCTAAAATCATGATAAGTTCCCACCAACTCTTCCAAAAACAAGTTCTTACATAGTGGTCAAGTTTGTAGTGTTAGTTAAACATGCTAACAAGCTGTAGCTAAAGCTGTAGCTAAATACCAAATTGCCCTACTCTCAATTCTTTTGGTACTACAATAAAAGTTCATTCATTCAACACTCATTATTTTTGAAAATAGGATAATTTGTACGAGCTCTCTGGTTTAGGCCAGCATGTACACTGTTGTATAGCATGAAATTCTCAACCCCGCTATTTCGTACGATTCTCGAACTGAACCAGGCAGGAAGCACCACAAACGTGCGATTCAGAATACCGGAAATGGCGATCGCGAACAACTTAGATGAGGCAGCGCAATCTGCATCACCATCGTCATTAGCGTGAATTGTATGGCCATGGAGTTTGTGGTTAAACTCAAGGTTGCAAGTTTCTGGTTATAGTTTTGGCAGGAAGGTTTTAAGTTGCGGTCACACTGTGAACAAAGTCGTGAGTAGCGACAATTTCGGCTGTTATGCTACTCTGATGCAAAGCAAGTAGACGATTTACGTATTCATCAAGCAAATGCCAGTATCAAGGCGTACAGACATTTGTTTGTTGTTTTCTTTATACTTTTGATAGATCGGTTAATTCTGGCATTTTTATCGAGCGCCGTAAGAACCGAATGAACACGCTTTTACTGTAGTAAGATCGGAATTTGTTTATTTATTACTCAAAGTAATTTCTCGAGCATTTTGAATAGCCTCGATTAATGAAAAGTTGGTGATGAAACTCTACGCTGGTGTTCATGAGGTGAAAATAAATTGGCTTTAACCAATCATTTTTTTTTCTTAACAATCAGGAAGACTACTTTGTATCTTCAAATGCAAGCAGGATTATTGAGGCTAATGGAAAAGCCGCCCCCTCATCGACTATAAAGTTCAGTCTTTGCTCTTTTTTTTCTGATTACGCTGCATAATCTTTAGTCACCGGAGGCCGCCACACACAGTGAATCAACCGGCCTAGGAAATTACTCAAATGACTTAACTAGCCAAGGATTTGACTCAAATGAAGGTGGTGCAGATGTGTCGACCGAAAACGCGATGCTCGAGGGTCTGTGTGCAGCAGACAATGACCCTGATCTTAACCTTGCAGAATTCATCAGGACAAATTCCATAAAAAAAAACGCTTCTAAACCAAAGAATGAGCCTACTGCAAGCAATTCGGTTGGTTTTCAGGTTCATCGCTGCTTCCAGGCTCACGGGGACCCAAGTGGATGGACTAATAAAACTGCTGGATACCCTCTTTAGAAAGAATATCATCCCAGCATTGAAGTACGGACGGAGGAAACTGTGGCACCTTCAGCGTTCGAAAGCAGTAGAAGTTCACGCCTGCTGTCCGCCATGCTTACACTTGCCTGCAAGCTGTGGAAACAACACAGAACGGTGTAGTGTTTGTGCCATGCAAGCAGCACTGCCAAACATGCTCAGTGAAGGGATTTTCTTCATTACCCTTGATTTAGAGCTGCAACTAATAAAGTTGCTGAAGATTGTTTCGAATTTATCGGCAAGAAGTTTGCAGAAGATTGCATCAACCACTAATCCAGACTCGTTCGAGGATGTGACTGATAGGGAAGTTTACAGAAACTGCCGCACCAAACAGCAGCTATCCTGCAGTGACTTTACTGTCACTCTGAATAGCGACAGCTCACCAGTGTTCAAATCCAGTAAGTGATCTCTGTGGCCCATTCAAGTGGCCTTAAATAAGCTACCGGTTCCACATCGCTGGAAAACATTCTTGTTGGTTCAGTGTAGTTTGGCAAAGAACATCTCCGAAGTAATCTGTTTTTGCAAACATTTGTGGAGACGTTTAATACCATTGGCACACTGGTGTAGACTTTCGCTGGACGCACTATGTGTTCCACAGTCAGTGCCCTGTGTTGTGTTGACTCACCGGTACGAGCTGCTCTTCTCAACGGTAAGTGTTACAACAGTTATTATGGCTGTTCGTGGGGCTTTCAGAAAGGGACACTCATCTACGTTAAGGTTACAATTCTACATGTGTGTATAAATATTGATAAGAATTCTTCTAATGGCCATGAGTAACTGAACTCAATGTTTCATCACATCTGAGCATGGTCATTATGTCATCATTTTTGTTGAACTGTCAGAATGCATCAGTAATAAAAATTTACTGACTCCAATTTTCTAACCTAAGTTTACCCTCCCACGCATATGTCTGTGTACAGAGCGCTGTGCGAATATGAACTTTAGTAAATGCTGCAAAAAAGTTTTAGTGTGACAAAATTATTTGGTTGTGGTGCACCTACTGACATCAACACTAGTCTGACATCAAAAATCATATTTGGTGACTCCGCACGCTAGTGTTGCTATTTGTGATGAAGTCAGGTCACCAGCCATAACAAATGCCTGCTTGCATGTTGCCAACAGAGCAGAGCACAATATCTGGTGAGAGCTCCTGGTTTGGATTCCATACCATGGCAGGACAAATGGGTACAGTAGGAACGGAAACCAGCTTTTAGAGACATGCTGTAAAAACTTCAGTGTGCACTCACGCATAACAGTACATTTCCTGGGCTCTTGAGGTGCTCGACCTCTCATTCGACGCAAAATACAACTCTAAATTTTTCTGTTAGTTTTGTATATTGCAGCTTGTGCCTTAGTAGAAACAGCACCTTATAGCTTAGTGGAAATTCAGGACCTACTGTTGCGTATGCAATCTTGCCAATAAATCGACCTTTCTAGGCTGTAATGAAAAATGCAAGAACTGCAAACAATGGCTGGAAGAGAACCTCACTGGCAATGAGTACAAATGTGCAATGAATTTTTTTGCTGCTTCTTTCTTTTCGTTGCAATTTAAGCATCGACAATTACTTTGCGGCCAGGCAAAGGCTGAATGAAAGTGACTATGGCCATATTTATTCAGGCAACATTGGTCACAAAATTGCCCATCTCAACACTTTTATTTGGTCGCACACTAGCTTCTGTTCTTCAGTGTCTTGGTTTTGTTTATTCTGTGATGCTTTCACATGTAAAAGCCCTGCTGTAAGCCAGTGTCATGACATGAACTTTCTCTCTTGAGTAACTGTAATTCTTCTGAAATTAATAACATGAGCCATCAAAGATTAAGGTACTGCA